TGTTTTAAACAAAAAAAATAAAAGTAATTCCCAATGGCTGAAGCGAATCCTTTGTAACTTACTAACTGACAAAAATGAGTCTTTTTTCCCTTTCAAAAGTCCATAATTGTCACCATCTTCCTTATTATCCAGTATTCTGCAGAACCCCACCTTCGCGTCATCTTCTTTTTTCTTGAAATCGTCAGCATCAATACCCGCGTTTTGATCCAATGATGCCAAGCCTAAGTCGGTATAACCTTCAGCTTTCTCCTTAAGAAAATTATTTTTCCTTTCCTTCAATTCTATCGGAAAGCCAGTCACGTTCGAGGATTCGGCGACACCATAGTCTGTCTTGGTCACTTCAAGGATCCCCGAAGTTATTTCTCTTTCTGTATCGTGAAAAGAAATGGTATCAGTTGCGTTGGTCTCAACAAAATCTGGTTGTGTGCAATCTGATCGCGCCTTAAATGGGTTCCAAATGTGGGCAGACCATTGACGAGAAGGAGGAATGGCGTTTATGTCGATGGCATCAATGTGTGCTTTGGCCTTGTGAACTAAGTGATTGGAATCCCTAGCCGGGCGATAAGGCGATCTAATGTAAGGCAAGTTTGTCTTATCAGAGTAGTTTGTGCAAGATTGCCCGGAGGCGATAGCATTATCCTTGTTCATGAGACCAGCGTCTAACGAGGTGTCCTTGTTAGAAGTTTGTTTATTTACACTTGTAGTAGAAGTCGCAGCCTTATTGCGACTGGAGACATTTGCAGCAGAAATGACAACTTTATACTGAACGGGAGTGAAAGCAGAACATGCATTGGAAGAGGCAGCTGTAGAAGAAGCTATACGTCCGATTAATGCAGTGTCAAGTGAAGTACGACGGTTCGCAAGCTCAATACGAAGACGATCGCGTTCACGTTGTGTTAAATGCAACTCACGTTGAGTGAGTTCTCTGCTGGCCTGGTGGAAAGGACAAAGGACGGGATAATAAAAGGGATCAAGGAGCGATAAGACTAATGAAAAGTAAATTACCTAATTAAAAAATACTTCCTTAATTTCTAAGATAATTTAATAGTGATGTTGGTCTCAAACCCTTTAAGTGATTATTGAAAATAAAGATTAATAACAAAGCACATAAGTCCATAAAATCATTATTTTTAATAGCAATTTACAAAAGTTATAATTAGAAATACCATTCTAAGTCAATAATTATAATTATAATCATGAAACATGTCTAGCTGATTCACACTAGAAATTATCCCATCACCGAATGAAAAATTAAATTAAATAAAAATACCACAACAGCTTGGGTTAATAAACTAAAAAAAAAACTGATTTGAGAGATGATAGCTGAAATCAGACGGAAGCATAGAGAAGCCATTAAGCATGAGAGATTAATATCAAACTTAAACAGAAATAGTTATGCGGCTGTGTCATATTTTCGTATATAAGCAGAGTTTAGATCTATATAAATGACATGTTTAATTTCAGCTAGCTGTATCCATCAGCATATGTTAATCTATACATTCCCTTCAATTTTCGATTTATAATGGCTACTAATTTAAATAAAAATGATAAAGTCTTTTTGGGATAGTAACCTTTGGGAAAGCAAGGCTATGTGAAATTCAATGAAAACGTCAGCTCAACTCATATCATTGTGGGAA